GAGTACTTCACCTCAGCTGAGAGGAGAGATGAGATTAGATTAGATGAGAATTAGAAATGGAAATGGGAATAAAAAGGGGAAATGGGAAATAACAGGAAAGACAGGGAGAAACGGAAAGAAAAAGATTTTGGTAGAGGAATATGAAAGGAAAATATTTTGGTTCGTTTTAAATGGGAAAGGAAAGGAAAGGAAAGGAAAGGAAAGGAAAGGAAAGGAAAGGAAAGATTTCGGTTTGCTTTTTGAAGTAAAGGGGAAGAAAGGGGAAGCTGAAATTGTAAATATTACATTTTAATTTGTTTGAAATAACAGAAATAAAAAGGGAAACAAAGGAAAAGATTTTTATTTGTAAAGGAAAGGGGAAAGGGGAAATGGGAAAAGAACTGGAAACTGGAAAAAGGAAAGGAAAGGAAAGGAAAGGAATGATGGGAAAAGGGGTAATGAAAAAATGTTTTGGTTTGTTGGAAAAATGTGAAAGGGGAAACCAAAAGGAAAATATTTTGGATTGTTTTAAGAAAAGGAAATGGGAATCCAAAGGTGAAATATAAAGCTTGATTTTTTAGTTTATCTGAAATAAAGGAAATAAAAGGGAAACAAAGGAAAAGATTTTAACATATAAAGGAAAGGAAAGGAAATGAAAGGAAAGGAAAGGAAAGATTTCGGTTTGATTTTTGAAATAAAGGAAATAAAAAGGAAAACAAAGGGACATATTTTTATTTGTAAAGGAAAGGGGAAATGGAAAAAGAAATGTTAGGGGAAAGGAAAGGAAAGGAAAGGAAAGGAAAGGAAAGGAAAGAAAAGGAAAGGGGAAACCGAAATTGGAAAGTTCAGGAAAGGGGAAATGGAAAGATGTTTTGGTTTGTTTGAAGTAAATGGAAAAAAGGGAAAGGGGAAATGGGAAAGCGAAAGGAAAATATTTTAGATTGTTTTAAGAAAAGGAAATAAAAGGAAATGGGAATGCAAAGCTGAAATATAAAGCTTTTTGTTTTAGTTTGTCTGAAATAAAGGAAATAAAAGGGAAACAAAGGAAAAGATTTTAATGTATAAGGAAAGGGGAAATGGGGAAAGAAATGGAAAAAGGAAAGGAAAGGAAATATTTCGGTTTGATTTTTGAAATAAAGGAAAACAAAGAGAAAGATTTTTATTTGTAAAGGAAAGGGGAAATGGAAAAAGAAATGTTAGGGAAAAGGAAAGGAAAAAGGAAAGGAAAGGAAAGGAAAGGAAAGGAAAGGAAAGGAAAGGGGAAATTGAAATTGGAAAGTTCAGGAAAGGGGAAATGGAAAATGGGAAAGCGAAAGGAAAATATTTTATAGATTGTTTTAAGAAAAGGAAATAAAAGGAAATGGGAATGCAAAGCTGAAATATAAAGCTTTATGTTTTAGTTTTTCTGAAATAAAGGAAATAAAAGGGAAACAAAGGAAAAGATTTTAATGTATAAGGAAAGGGGAAATGGGAAAAGAAATGGAAAAAGGAAAGGAAAGGAAAGGAAAGGAAAGGAAAGGAAAGGAAAGGAAAGGAAAGGGGAAATTGAGTGGAAAGAAAAGAAAAGAGGAGAGGATTGTTTATTTATACCCTTTAATTTAGCGGGCGGCTCCATTTGAAAAGCAGATCATGATGAATACACAGTACAGAAATAGACAGATGAGAAGATGAGGAGATGATAAGATGTTCCTCTGGGATTCTCTCTCCTGGGGTTCTGGGAGTCACAGCCCATTAGTGGTTTATAATTTAAAAACATCTTGTGGTTCTAAGAGAGAAGATCGGCCCTTCTCTTTGGCTAATCGCAGACATGCCACCACATCTGAGACTGCTCATTATGCATCCTGTGGAAACTGTTTTTTCCTCTAAGCGTTTCCATGTGCGCTCCCAGTTTATCCCGACATTTCTCTTTGATATTCATAGAAATGCGAGGACGCGTGTGTTTGCGCATGTGAGTGTGAGTGAGCATTCACATACAAACCCCTGGACAACCTTCGGTGAGGAAACAAACAGCCAACAGTGAAACTCAAAGCCTGTCAGAAGCATGTCAGCACCGGTTGACAGTTAGTTTGCATATTGATATTTTATGGCCCGGTGACATTTTTGCAGCATTAGTCTTCATCTTGACCTTGAATCAACCCAACCATTGTGTAGTTCAGGTTGCTTTAATTCAAGTTTATGTTTTGCTTGGGTAATTAAAAGCCTGACAAACAAGATAAGCCAGTTTCTTCTGTTGGTCAGTTATGTTGGTCTGTTGGTCAATATGTCTTCTCAATTCTGTTCACACACAGTTTAGCACAACCAAATTAACTCCCCAAACGATGCATTTACAAAAATTCTGTGTGCAGAAGAAAACTGAACTGTTAATGATGTACTTCACGATCATGACGATCTGCATCAGGGATGTAGGCTATATCTACACTTATATGTGTTATAAAGAGGTACGAGCCTTGAAAAACATTCAGCGAACAAGAACAAGCCCATAATAAACTGAGATAAATCCAAATGATTTATATTGAAAATGACCAAAATATTGCGCCTTTATTTTACTTTAACATGAACAAAACACGAAACCTCTTTAGAAGAGGGTTTAAAATCGCTGAACATTTTGAGTCTTGGTTTCTGTAAAAGGGTCAAAAGCATAACGTCTGTCTTGGGTCACGTGTGCCTTGATAACCAATCACATACTTTACAGCCATTAGTTTGTCGATTCATTCATTTATAAGCTGTTTTCCTACAAAAGTAGTTCAGTCAGTGTAGTGAAGCCTCTCTTCCATTGACATCCATTACCAAGTTGACATCCAGTGTCAAGTTTATACAGCGCTTCAATACAGATTGGTTTAAATGGGGGGTAAAGTGGACTGTGAAGAGTCATTTTTACAAAGATATGCCACTTTCATACCTTAGCATTTCTCAAACACTGAATCTGGTTATTTATAATAACAAAGACAAAGTTGTTTTCACTCAAAATTGTTTGGGAAAGCCTCTTCATTATTACTTCCATTGATTGAGTGTTTCATCATGTTGAAGCAAAGAGAAATCCGGTTCATAAAAGAAAGTTTTGTGTTAGGCTCGTTACTTGAGTTGTGTGTGAATTAAGTTTGACAGCGCCCTCTTCTGTCTGTTTTAACAATGTCCTTTTAGTCATTTCATTCTAAATTGGTGTGGGTGAAGCTACTTTAAGAGTAGCTTTAAACCTGAGAAGGAACACTATTGTTCTATGTAAGTGAGGAGAGCAAAATAAAGCAAACTGTTACATATTAATATTATATCCAAGCATTACTCATACAGTGGACTACCAGTAAAATGTATAACAATTTGGGACCAAAACTTATTCAGACACTTTGACCTGACCATGTTTTGCTTTAGTGTTTTTTCGGTAACACTTTACAATACGGGTGCACTAATAAGCATTATTTCATGCTTAACTAATGCACAGATAATACTGAATTAATGTGTAACTAATGATTGTCTAAGCTATTCATTAATGATTACCACATTAGGAACTAATTAAGAGTCTGTAAGGTTAATGTATTGGTTCATACATGAATTGTATTAATTAAATATGTAATTGTGGATTAATTCCATTATAACTCATTTTTTAACTAATAGTGTTAATTAATATGTTAATTACCAGAATGAGCCAAAGCCATGTATTTCAACTTCCAGATAATACGACAGTTAATACATTAATACATGATTAATTACTTCATTGTTAGTGCAAATTTATGTGCAAATTACTACAATTACTAAATGACTAGTTAATAATGATGTGCACCAACAAGTAAAGTCATAACATAATGATACCTTTGCAAATCATTAGCTAATGATTAATTAAAGCAGACAACTGGAAGTTGAAGTGCATAGCTTTGACTAATTGTGGTAATTAACACATTAATTTACACTATTAGTTAATCAAATATGTTATTAAGGAACTAATACACAATGACACATTGAATTAATAGCAATTCATGTATTACTTAATCTATTAATCATATAGACTTATTATTAGTTGCTGATGCAGTAATCATTAATTAATGGTTTAGTTCTTCATTAATTATACATTAACTCATGATTATCTGTGCATTAGTTAAGCATGAATTAATGCATATTAGTGCACCCGTATTGTAAAGTGTTACCGTTTTTTCTTTATTTGCTAATGTGACCGTTTTACACCACAGATAGGACAAAATGAAGCATTGCTTGGTAATTGGTTGCCCTAAGTTGGTGTTCTCTAACGGTGTGCTTAAATTTAACAGCTGACAGATATTTGACCTGATTCATTTGTGCGAGTCTAACAGATGGATGGCCAAAACCAGTGAAATTTCAATGGATTTGACATTTGAGAACTGAGTTCTTGCCATATTCTATTACCATTTTCGAAACTACAGCGAATAAACTGTGAGAAATATTGAAGGTATTTGAATATACTAAAAAGCCAGCCCGTTCTCATCCTTTAACTTCATATAGAACGCTATATGCAAAAACGGCGCTATACTACGCAAATGGCACCCTTTATCGTTAATATAACACGCGAACCCAAGACGTTATAAATCCTTTAGCGTGAATATGACACGCACACCCTACCCCACACCTAAACTTAGCCCTCACAGCGTGTGTTATATTAACGATAACGGGTGCCATGTGCGTAGTATAGTGCTGTTTTGTCATATAGCGTTCTATATGACGTTAAAGTATGAGAATGCGTTGAAAAAGCATACTACAATAAATACGTATAGACCATTTTGCAAGATGTAAACAACACTGGTCCAGAAACACTTCCTGTTTCAGTTTGTAACTTGTAAAGAAAACATCGTAAAGATGTTTGTTTAACTTTTTGATTCAGTTTTATATATGTTCTGTTGGTTGTATTTTATCCCAGCTTTTATGTAGTGTTAAAAAACTGAATCAGGAAGTGCTTCTGGACCAGTGTTGTTTACATCTTGCAAAATGGTGAACCCCACTGAGAGAACACAACTTCCGAATTAAGAATCACTGGAAAACTGTTCTTTTCTCTCCACCAGGTACGTCGGATCTCAGTCCCTTCTCGGCCGACCCTCGGCAGTTCGAACGTCAGTTTCCCGGTCTGTCCACGCTCACAGAAAGCCGCTTCCCCAGTCCCAGAATGCACTATCCTACGACGTTCACGTACACCCCCACTCCGGTCACCTCCGGCATGTCTCTGGGCATCTCCACCAACACCCACTACCACACCTACCTGCCTCCCCCGTACCCCGGCTCCACCCAGAACCAGAGCGGGCCCTTCCAGACCAGCAGCACGCCCTATCTCTACTACGGCGCCTCGTCCGGGTCGTACCAGTTTTCCATGGTGCCGGGGGGAGACCGCTCCCCTTCCAGGATGCTTCCGCCTTGCACTAGCGCGTCCACCGGCAGCTCCCTCATCAACCCAAACCTGCCCAACCAGGCGGACGGGGGCGAAGCGGACGGCAGTCACAGCAGCTCGCCCACCGTGCTCAACTCCAGCGGCAGGATGGACGAGTCCGTTTGGCGACCCTATTGAGACAGCCTGGTCGAACCGTCTCAATAGGCTCAATAGGGAGACCTCAACGCAGCACTGTTAGCCTTAAAGACAGAGTGCGAGAGATAGTTGCATTTAGGCATGATCGGATTTGAAGCACAAACTCGTTGGTACTCATTGTTGAATGGTTGCAGTGTATTTTATGACTACACTGATGTTGTTTTGATTTTCTAATACAGATGACGATTTATCCGATTCATCTGACATTCCACATCGGCTATCGGTCACTGAATTTAAGGAATAGTTCACTCAAAAAATTCAAATGTACTGCCTCATATCGTTTTCAAAGGACTTTTAGTACAATTTCAGAGAATACAAATTCTTAAAGACATTGTTCACCCAAAATGTTTAATTCTGTCGTTAATTACTGAGATGAAATCTGAGAGGTTCCTGTCACTCTGTTGTCAGCTACGCAACTACTACTTTGTCGCTTCAAAGAGTTCCTAAAGAGATTGTAAAACTAAACCATATGAATTGAGCGGTTTAGTCCAAGTTTGACTCCTAAAAGAGACACAATCACTTTATATGATGAACAGATTGAATTTGGAATTCAACTCACACAACAGTTCCTTCTCGTGTTACGTAGCACGTTTGAGCTTCAGCAATAGCCAATGAGGTTCATTCTCGTGTTACGCAGCACTTTTGAGCTTCAGCAATAACCAATGAGGTTTCTTCTTACACCGTGTCCTAACTACACGCGACGCAATAAAATTCCAGCGACAGGAAGTGTGTCTGTCCACACTAGACGTGACGCGACTGTGAGACGCACACATTCAGAACAGCGTGTGAGCCTATGGTGTGAGCAGAGTCTGTCTGTGAAAGCGCACTGTTGGCCCGCACTTGCATTGGAAATGGGTAAGGACATAATCAAATCAAGAAATCACATTATTAAAAATCTAAACATTAACTAAATATACTCATTGACTAATTTTGTTACAAAGTACAGTTGTATGTTTGCATAGAATTCATTTTGAACGCTATATTACATGCTTTCAAAATCTGAGGTAAATTATCCGTTATCGCTTGTGGCACAGTGACCTATTTTTAACTAAAAATAGTTCTGTCAGCGTCTGGTTAGGACAAAAACTCTGATTAACATGGATAACATGGACCTTTTATCGCGTGTCGCGGCGTCGCGTGTAGTTAGGACACGGTGTTATGCTCAATTCATTTGGATTAGTTTTACAATCTCTTTGTGAACTTTTTGAAGTGTCGGGTAGTTGCGTAGCTGTCAATGGAGGGACAGAAATCTCTCAGATTTCATCAAGAAGATCTTCATTTGTGTTCAGAAGATGAACGAAAGTCTTGCGGGTTTGGAACGAAATGAGGGTGAGTAAATTATGACAATTTTCATTTTTGGGTGAACTATCCCTTTAAATAAAGATCCATTTACTTGAGAAGCAGATATAAATTCTTGTTTCCTTAAAAATTATCAAAATTGAGTTATGGGTATAGGGTAAGTTTTTTTTCTAACCCCACTGGCAGATATTTGTTATTGTTTCAAGCATGAATTCACTTAATTGTATGAATTTTTCAGATAAACAAGACTATATTATCATGTCATTTTGCTTCTCAGTTACATGTATCTTGATTTAAGAAAGTTTTGAAATTCTTTCTTTTGACGAACACAAAATTAGATGTTTAGCACAATGTTAATGCTGCACATTTAAACACAATGAAAGCAAAAATTCAATGTGGTTTTTGAAGCTTGACAGCTGATCACGGGGCTTTCGCCACCAAAAAATGGCAGATTTTGTGCTATATATTCTAATTATTCTGAAGGCATTCAGTAGCTTTGTGTAAAGAACAGACCAATCTTTAAGAGTAAATGTTGCCAGAACATAACTTTTTGGATGAACTATCCCTTTGCCTGTCCTAGAGTAAACTTTCATTGCAATGGGAATGCATACACACTTTTGGCTCAGAATATTTTTATACTAACTCGGTCTAATTTAGCATTTCTTAACACTGAAAGCATTTTTATTTTTATTTATGCGTGTTAGAAGTCAGCTTATTGAAATTCCCTCTGATTATCTTAATTTATGTATGAAACGGTAGCAAACGGTACTGATTGAGAAGCAATATAAGCCATATAAACTTTAAATTATGCAATGTGTTTAGAGGGACAAAATTTAAGACGTTTGAATATTATTTTTGGGACAATTGTAATCTATTGTAATTTAAATGTTTTGTTATTATTGTTGTTATTATTGTAAAGCAACCAAAAAGAAAATCCAATGGTACGCAAGCAATGAAGGAAGGATATTTCATTGTAAGATTATATCTCAGAATAATATCTCAGTCTGAAATGTTTAATATTAATAACATGAAGTAGCAAGCATTAAGACATCCAGCAATGTTTTGGACTGAGTACATCTGAGTAACATTTGTAACAAAAACAATCAATAAATGTACAAAGATATGTTACGAGAGGTGACGTCCTGCACTCTCCACTTGTTTTATTTTGGTATCCAATGTTTAGCAAGTTAATTTATTTTAGATGTATTTTTTATTTAATGTTTTTTGGTGACTACAAGAACGACCAAACTCTTGCAGCAGTGGCCTAAATCTCTGCATCTTCAGATATAGATTTGATCAAATCTCATGCATGCACTTGCAATCAGTTTCAGTCCCTCGTGCAGATATGAAATCATAATCAATATCAGCCTTCTCTTCTATAACTGGATGGTTAACTGCACTTTGTAGGTTGGTTAAACACTATGCAAACTGTACTACAACAATCAAACTCTGAAATGTCTCTGCTGTGTGCTAATGTTCTTGAGGTACAATAAAGTCAAAATACTTTAATATTACTGGCATTGAACACATGGAAACTTGGAAATCTCTGATAGAAGTACTGGCAAATGAAACTGTTTAAGATGAGATTGGCCGCAGGCAAACATCATACTGAACAGACAATCAAATGTAATTATTATAGCTACCGGAAAAGCTTATCATCTCAATATCTAGAATTTATTTATTGGTCAACAAACCATAATGAGATGAGACGAGAACACATTTTCGATTATATTTGTAATGATGTGATTCTTCTTTACACCTTGGCATCTTTCATGATTAATGTATATGTATCTGGATTCAACAACAAGTGGAACTTGATCAAATGTTTGTCCAAATGTAAGTTAGGCTGCTGGCAGCGCCCTCTGAAACAAATGTCACTTGTCTGTTTTATTTCTATTTTTGTGTGGAACAAAGCACTTCTTTTAAAGGGATGCAAAACAAATGAAGCCTGAATGCCAGATATAAAGAACACCAATACATGTATGGGTTATATTTTACTCAAGAAGTTATATTTTGCATGAAGAAAAGGCAATTGACAATTTTTTCCCAGACTAACCTTTCTGTTCGAATCAGCTTCGATTAAATCCAGTACAATGTTAACTACAAAATACTTTTTAATTAATATTAATATACATAATCTCAGCTTAAAACCGGTCTGTATGCGTTTGTCACGCCGGCTATTTGTTCTGTACAGTATTAAACCCCATTTCTCTCAGTTCACTCACACTGCTGTCCTTGACTGCCCCACTATTTGAGTTTGCCTTTTCTTTACCATGGTGTCTTCTGGTAGCGAGGAGAGCGTTTATGTTTACAGAATGTTTACAAAAACTGCAAGCAGGGAACTGCTAATGTAAAGAACCTCTGCACTGTTAACTTTTTATGAATCCATGTTTAATTGCTTCAACATGCCTGATAACACAAGAACAACATTGTCACATGTCAACATGTCACAGGGCCAAAATATTGATATGCTTTTGGGCGTTTTACTATGTTTTTCATTCACCCTTTTTCCTTGCAAGAGTCTTACAACTTCTGGGTCAAGCAGCTGAGATTCCTTCCATATCTGTTCTATATATTAAAACAAGCATTGAGATTTCATTTACGAACATTTTGTCATTTTCACAGAGTTTTTTGGGATTCTCCTATGGTATATCTATTTGCAAATTTCATTTATATTGCCAGTACGCAAAGTCAATTTTAAATATGAAGAAAACCAAATGCTTCTGCAACATATTTTGCGCTTTGTTATTTTCGTTTCTGGACCCTGGAAACACAATGCTATTGAAATATGCATTCTTTTGATTCATCACAATGCTTTGTTTGTAACTTCCTTGCACATACTGTACAGATGTTTAGGTTTCAACAGTTCTGTTTGAGAAACTTTAACCTGTTTGTATGGGACAAACAATCCAGTACAAAATATTGTGAGATTTTTGAGCGTTTCTGATGATTGTATCATTTGTCTTGAGAATAAAAATGGCTTTTTGTTATAACTTGTCGCTTTCCGACTTTTTTTTTTTTTTCATTTCATTAATGGGAAACATAAGAGTTTGATAGACACAAATATGCATTTTTGAAACTTTATGTATTTATGAAGTTTGAAGGAATAGATCAAATGTGTCCTATTCTCGAGACAGCATGAAAAAGTTAACGATATAGACCAAATATTATACAAGTGCATGAAAGTTATAAATGTGCATTTACTTTCCACCCCATTTTAAATATTCTAAAGTCTTGCCATCATGATTGACTTTATTGAAAACACATGAGAGCAGGTGCTTCCTAGAAAACTTGAACTTGTTTTAGAAGCACCAAGGGGAGCAAGAAAAACTTCTTTCACTGCGCTAAAGTTAAAAAACAACCTGAGGCGCGTTAGCTGGTTTGACAGTTCTCTGTATTATACGGCTGCAATGGAAAACCCCCTCGACCAATGAGAGCTAATCATCAAGGAAGTGCTTCATTAAATGTCTCTATCTGAGTCACTAAAACATGTTCACAATCTGCTACATTTAAAAATGCTGTTTGGCAGCCAGCAGTTACATGGAAGTAAATTTAACTGAGCTGAACTCACCTCAACTGTATTGTACTTGTATTGAGCTGAGCTGATTTTAATTCAATTTAAGGGAACTAAACTTAGCTGAGGTAAGCTGAGTGAAAATGAAAATTCTGCTACAGTAAGAAATGACTAACTTAACTAAACTTATCTTAAACCAACCGAATTAAGCTGAATTCAATTCAAGTTTATTTGTAACGCTTTTCACAATGAACCCTTTAAAGTGTGAAAATGCAGTTTCAAAGCAGCTTTATAGGAAATGCATGTTTTATTGTTACAATCAGAAAGTACCTTATCTCTCAGAGAGCTGAACTGAACTGGATAAATAGAACTAAGCTGAATTAAATCTAAGAAAAATTGAACTGAACTGAACCATGCTTAAACGAACTGAGTTTATTTGAAAAGCTGAGTTAAAACGAATAGAACCAAGTTGAATTTCCCTTAACATAGCTGAACTAAATAAACTGAACTAACTGACGCTTTTGACCATCCGACGTTTTAGGGCACCCTTTAACGTCAGTTAGATGACGCTATCCTAGGGCGTCATTAAAGTCCCTGTAAAGGTAATTCAACCAAAAAATTCGAAACATATAAATGTTACAAACGTATTGCTAAAACATATTACAAAGACTGTAAACTGTGAAGTTTTGAAATACGGAGTTAGACCGTTAAACAGTTTTTCACCCTTGCTATTTAACGGATTTTTTGGGCGGGGCTAAAACAGGGCTTGATGACGCACTGGAGCCCAAGAGCTCGTGGACATGCCCCAACTTGATGACGCACGTTGGCTGATCCAACCCGATCTCAC